AGGGTCCATGCCCTCTTTTCAAATTTTTTCGCCCACCGGTGCCCCTTGCCATTGATGTATAAAGTTTCATTATGATATCTCAATTTTTACTAAAGTTTACGCTTGCACGAAGGGATGGACAGACAGTCACCCGAAATTTAACTCGTCTCGTAATCCTGATATTTTGTACACAATCATATGACTTCATACCCATCTCGATTAATTTTAGGTGATACAAACAACCGTTAGCGTTAGGTGAACACAACTATTATACTCTGTAGCAGCATGCTGCAGGAGTAGAAAAAATGGCAATGGAAACCGTGTGCCGACTGTTACAGTGAGTAACTGTTAGCTCATTTGTAAATGAATCTAAATATTTGTTCGCGTTTATATTCTATTGACACACAAATTATATACATATGTATGTATGAATGTGCGAACAATTGCAAGCCTTTAGTTGCTGATAGCAAAATTTGATAGCACAATACCGAGAATTCTCGGAATTGCATATGATGTCAAGTACGCTTGAGTGCTACGTGGAGTAACGGGTTGCTGCAGCTGGAAATGTGCATAAAACACTCAAACTGACGCAAACAAAAAAAAAGCATTACTAGGAATTTGCGCAGCAAGTGAGTAATTCCATAAAGATGGAATGTTAGCGCACATACATAGACATAAATGTACAGTGTTGGTGAAAACTGAGTGAGGGGATACTTTAAAAGCCCAGGAAATTCTAGAAAATCAGTAGACACTTCTTTTTAAGTTAAAAACAAAAACTTGTTAGCAAGATGATATTGTCATGTGGTTGTTGTAGCTAAATAATTTTGTAAAATGCGTATAATTTGATAGTCTTTGAATGGATAAAAATGTTCGTTTCGATCACGTAAACCCGACCACCATGGGTTATTATCATGTTTTTAAAAGTTTTTGAGTCTGTGGTACAATGTATTCAATTATACTTCAATTCATAAATGTTCATGTAATTTTCTATTAGGCCCAGTGTACGAAAGTAATAAGTTAAAACCACAAATTTTTATTCCCACCTGGAGCAAGATCCCTTCGATTTTTTATTTTATGAGAATGATAGCTGGTGCTTGCCACACCCGATGTTTACTTTATTTATAGTCTGAATTTTAACGCCATCAACTTTGAGACACACTTCATCAGTTCAATTTAAATTGCGGCTACCGGCGATAATTACATACATGCATATGTATATTTAACTTTTAGATATTTTTTTGTAATCATTGACGCATTTCGGAGCAAATAATTCGATTATCATTGCAGCTTAGCAATCCAAGTAAAAGAAAACACAAAGAGCTTTTATATACAGAAATTACTTCAGTTTAGGGTGGCAAATAATACATTTAACAAATTTAATTAACATTTAAATATTTCCTTTTATTTTATAATTTTGTAAATCTTAGTAAAGAATATTTTTAAAGTTTCTAAACCCAATTACCGAACTGAAAAAATGAAAATACATATGTATATGTTAAATCCAAATACAGTAAAAACAAAAAAAGTAACCCCAAATTATGCATGTAAGTTAAAAAAGTTAATTCCAAGTTTCGTATTCTGAAATTTTTAACTTTCTGATTTTTGGATGAAAAAATAAGTTTTTAATTTTAATATTTAACTTTCTATTTTTAACTGCCATTTTTTAATTTAATTTTAATTAATTAAGTTTAAACAAAATTTTAAAATTTTAAGCCAAAACATTTTACTGCTCTAAAAATTAAAATTTATTTATTTTAATTTTATTTTTAAGCCAAAATTTTTTTTTGTAAAAAATTTGCTACCTTGAGCAAATTGTTTATATTTTGCGCGGCAGTGTGAATGCGTCGAGGTGTAGTTTGGTAATTGGAAAACCTCGCATTAAAAAACAATATTAATTAATAATACGAGTTTTCAAGAAAACACATTAAAGTCAACTGCGCAGATATAAACATATGAACATACTATATTTATATATATAATAAAGAAATTTCTGCGCATATACAAACGTACATACATACATATGTATGTATGCAGGTATGTAGTATGAACAAGTGCGGAGTTGAGAAGTAAGGAAATTTATATAAAATCACGTTGCATTCACATTAGTTGCAGCGCGTCTCAATAAAGGAATACATACATACATATCTACAGAGTTAACTGTAACCAAAACAGACGGAGTAGCCGGCAAGTCGAGCCGTTATTGATCAGCTCAGCAAAATATACTATAAATGTGTACCAACATATTTATGGTATGTAAATGCATAAAGTGTTTTGAACCGCTTATAATAGAAAATACATATGTACATTAACCGTGCGATTCTGTACGGCGATACAGTATCAAATCTCTAAATTTGACAGAGACAATTTTTGAGACTTGAGACGATATTGCTATTCTGTAAGTGACAGTCACAAAATCTATTTCATTCCATTATTCAGAGATGTTTTTATACTTAAATGAAAATAAATATGTCGATAACAAATAATAAATTTTCTATAACATAGTCAAAAAACATAATTATCAATAAGCATAAAAATATATGTTTTATGTATTAACAAAATTTATGTAAAATTGATTTATTTTTAACATTTGCGTGTTTGAGTTCCTTACAAAATAAAAAACGACAATCGATTAATATCTATAGTGATCTCTATTCAGTATATTCAAAATGGCAGACAAAAGTTCTTTTTGGGTTTGTGACTTGCTAACTACCAGGTCTCAAATTTGAGGCAATATTTTGAGACTAAAGCTAGAGACTGTTTAGTGAATAGTAACTAGTCACAAATTGAGATTTTACCACAAAATGTCTCAAATAGAGACTAGAGACTGGTTACAGAATCCCGCTATAAAAGTGATTAGCAGCGTCAGAGGCACGAAAAAATGACAATTTTCAGTATTTTTTTTTTTTTTGCTATTAATAGTCCAGTCATTATAGTAAGTTCACCTCGGAATGACGACCATAAGTCCTTGGAGATTCATCTAAAATCAATCGGACAAAAAAAAAATTGTTTTATAAATAGATAATCCTGATCGAAGGATTTTTTTTCTTCAAAAATTAACAAAATGGCTGCCTCAGGAAACTTTTTTCTAAATTTTGGGAAGCAATCAACAGTTAATTGGTCTTAAAAAAATTAAATTTTTGAAAAAATAAAAATCCTTCGATCAGGTTCGAGATTATGATGTATTCTAAAAGCTGTATAGATTTCATTAAAATCTACTGAGCAGTTTTCGAGTTACAGTTGGCACCGGTGCAAAAAACATAGTTTGAGAAAAACGCGTTTAAAGTTTCACATTAGCGCTTTGAAGTGCCGCGCTCTCTTTGTTATTTGTCGATTAACTCAAAAGGTAATTATCGGATCAACGTGAAATTTCCAGATAATATTTTTAAGATATTACACTTAACGAAAATCAAATATATTTTTTTGAAAATTCTAACTGCCCCTAACCCCTTAAGTGAAATTTAGAAGAAGTGGCATCTAATAAAGTACATGTATATGTAGATAAAATATGTATGTATGTATTTATATTTATATTGACACTCGTTTGGTTGGACAAACGTTAAAATAAACAAAATCAAAAAGATTAAAACGATAGCGACAAAAGAACTGAAGGCATACATTCCTCACGTACTCACTTATCTTTGATAAATTTAAAATTAGCACTAAACATCATGTGAGTGTATAGAAATCGTGCAAATATAAACAAATCAAATCGATTATTAATTCAAAGAGCTTAAAATGTAAAATATAACTAACTAACTAAATTAACTTAAGAAGTTTTTTTAGTGCTTGGCCATTCTATCTAAAAATGCTCTAAATTTAGTGAAATTAAAGAAATAAATTATCAAAAACAAAAAAAAAAAAAAATCTTATTAATACATATATACGTATAGGCTCCTAATATGTTGTTCATATCGGACTACTATAGCAGCATGAACGATCAAAATCGCTTACGGAAAACTTTTTTATTTGTCAAGATATCTTCACAAAATTTCATTTATATCAAATCTCAAGACAGTTCTACAATTTCTGAATAAATTGTTCGGAACCGACGGCTGTAGCATATACATACATACATATGTAGCTGCCATACAAATTTTCAAAATGAAGATTAAGACCTCTTTAACACTTTTTTGTCATAAAAAATGCACCTGTAAAGGGTATTATAAGTAGCTGCACTGTGCCGAAGTTAACGTGTGATCTGATTTTAGGATTCATTTGTTCATTATTTACTTGAAACACCTTTTAACTGATCGGTAAATCGGATTCAATAAACAATTAAACGAAAAACTAAAAGTGTGCTTAAAATACCTAAACCAACACATTGTAATTGGGCGTCAACAATTCTTCAAATATCAATAGTTAAGTAAGCCTACATAAAGGACGGTGCGATTATGTATTAAGATAGCGCACAACATTGTTACAGTTTCGACAAACAGTTTTTGATGAATAAACTTAATAATAGTAAACAGCACATTATTATTATACCTATAAGTGTATGAATTAAATTTATCTATAATACTGTTTAGGCAACGCATATACAATTCAATGAGGTACACTAAAATGTTTACAGCAAAGAATAGGTAGGTGTGTATGTACAAAGTAAATCAGAAGCTTATATTGCCAAGATAGGACAACTTTATTTTGAAATATTAAAATAGCGTATTAGTTTTATTTCGGCAACAGAGGTGAACACATCTAGAACTCTTTACTGTAGCTACCTTTATTTTGACGCGCTGTTTCGAAAAGATATTATCGTTATTGGGGACAAATATATAATATTCAGTCAACCGTGGTTATAAATATTTAATTTATTGGTGACTCATTTGCCCTTTTACCAGTTTTTCAATGTGAAAAATAAAATTAGCATAAATGCAGACGCCAGAAATTATTCGTAATTAAGTATTGCATTTTCAATAAACGCTAGGTGAGTACATGGTGGATAGAAGCCGTTTAATTTTAAGGTTGACAATATAACAACAAATTTCTATAGGTATGTGTTTATTTAAAGAATCTTCACTCACTTTGCATTTCCAAAAGCGTTTTCGTCCACGCCACCTCCGCTTCCAACTTGACAGCTTATGCTTTTCTCATAATGATGATGTGTATTATGGTTGGTAAGGTTTGCTGTATATGGTGCATGCGATGGCGATATTTGTTGACACTGCAACTGTTGGTACATTAATTGCTGTTGTTGTTGATGATATTGCGGGGATAGCAAGCGTTGATCTACATGGTGATATTGCGGTTGCATGCATAATGACGTATTGTTTTGCATAATACCAGCACCGTTCACTGTACCACCTGTATCTGGTATTTGATTGGGGTTTGACTCGTTAGCCAATCCATTTGTCTGGTTGTATGCAATGCCATTGTCATTGTTACCCATCATCACAGCCATGGGTGGTACTGCAGTTAGTATGCTAGGATCAACTTCAGCACTTTCGTTACCGCCTAGTAGTCCAAAGCCTATAACAGCCATATCATTCGTGGATGTTGTCCAGCGATGGTGACCAGCATCAACATCGCTGCTTGTTGTGGGCATTGATGGCGGAATTGTATTGCTTAATGTTGTGGCAGCAACAGCCTGTTGCAGATGTTGAATGCGATTTTCATTTCTTTGTTTGGCTAACATACGGCAAGACTGCTTATGCATGGGCCAATCCATATGCTGATGTGCAGTGGAACAGTAAAAAATCGACTTACATTTGGCGCAACGCAACAATTGCTGCATTGTACCGCAAATGGCACACTGTGGAAATTTTTCCATTTTTATAATTAAATTTCAACAATTTCAACTTTCGATTTTTATTTATTTTTTTGTTTTTTTGTTGATGTGATCGTTTTAAGTAAGCTATTCAACCTGACATCTTATACACTTGTTAAAACCTGAAATACTATTCTTCTTTGACCTCCAAAGAGTATATGCCTTCAATTTAACCTTGACAGGGGCCTTATTTTCTGCAGTGGATATGTCTTTTGATTTACACTTTGCACTATTTCTTCTTTATCTTGCACTTCGATTGCAGCTGCTCTTTCCCGTTGTCATCGCAATTGTATATAAATGTGCTGAACTATTTTAAGTGGTTCTGCAGCTGTTTTACCACTTTTATCATATTTGAAATTATTACACTTTTAAAAGTTAATTTTGTTGTAATATAAATCTGTTTAGCAAAATATTTATTTGCATTAGCTTGAATATTTGATTATTGGATACAACATATGAGTTAAACGCGACGAGAGGGGTAAATCAAAGTTATGCACTTGCCCCTACGGTAACCGAACAAATTTTACTTTAAACCCCTAACTCGTGAGCCAGCTGATAACGCTTCCGTTGCTTCTGCGATTAGTGGATTACTCTTGCCCTCTCAAATATTTATAAAATTTTGTGGTTAAATCACGTAGTAACAGTCGTCTATGAAACGCTCTAAATAGCTTTTGAGCTATTTCTCTTTGTTGAATTTGTTTCTGTTGCAAAAGTGTCATTTGTTGTATATATATTTCCTTCCATATCAATTCCAAGAAACTATTCCCATGAAGAAAAAATTTAGTAAATTTATAAATTTCCTGGTTAATTCAAGTATACTACCTAATTGATATCTTATTACTGGCGTTGAAAGGTATTTATATTTATTTATTCCTTTTTTATTTTTTATCTAATGCAGACGCTGGAAATCTATTTTAGAAATTTAAAATATACGCAAGCATATATACGCAGTGTTTTTTGTAAGTGACGAATTTAATATCACAATATAGCATATATAATATCACAAATATCGTCAATAAATAACAATTGTTTTGCTAAATATGCAATTAACGGCTTTACACTTTCACAAAATTTTTGTGCAAATTTGACATGCTGAATTACGAATTACGAAGGAACGAAAACAGAAAACGTCAAATTGGTTTAAATCGTTGACATTGTTAAGAGCGTAAAGCGATAAAAGCAAGTAGAAAGGAAATTGAAAATAAATAAATACCTAACTACAGAAATTAAGTGTTGCCGTATGGTAAATATTTCAAGTATATTCACGAACATCTATCAAGGGATTAATGAACGATTAAAAAGCCAAAAGCATGTATGTTTTTTATATTAATTACCCCCAAAACTCTATAAATGCAACTGAAGTGCTATTTATTGATATAATGCTCGCTAGGCATTTGTAAATAAATGTAGTATTGTGGCACTTCACTTTTGTTCTGGCAACACTGCTGTTATCAATACATTTCCAGTGGAATTTAGAGATATGCTTTCAGCTGTTCCTTTATCATTCAAGCTATTGGAAATTAACGAATCTCGGTTAGGTTAAAATAAATTGATATGCCTGAATTCACAGTGAAATTAATACTCAGCGATATTGAGGGTACCACGACATCCATTAGTTTTGTAAAGGTGCAGTCATAGACAATAATTATTGTATTGATAATTTTTTGATCGGGTTTATTGCTTATTGCAGGATGTGCTCTTCCCCTATGCTAAAACACACTCCAAGGCATTTCTAGAGGAATCTTGGAATAATGCCGAAACACAAAGTATTGTTCAGGACTTACGCAAATTACCACAATATAAAGATTATTTGGGACCAGTTGATGAACAACCTACCGCTTCGCCCGGGAATGTAGCCAGTTTTCTTAATTTTCTCATAGAAAAAGATCTTAAAGTAGGGCCATTGAAAACTCTTCAGGGATTGGTTTGGGCCAAAGGTTATGCTAACGGTAACATTAAAGGACAGTAAGTAGACATATTTTTGTTAGTATAATATTGCCTATTATTTATTTAATATTCTATTTTTTGGCTATCACAAGCATATATGCTGACGTGCTGCCAGCATTTAAGCGATGGCATGAGGCTGGCCTTCGCCTCGCTATCTATTCCAGTGGTAGTGTAAAGGCACAACAGCTACTTTTTGGTCAATCAGAGATGGGAAATTTACTTCCCTATATTAGCAGTCATTATGACACAGCCGTTGGTCATAAGCAACAAAAAGAGTCGTATATGAATATAGCTAAAGATTTGGATTTACCAGCTGAAGACATACTGTTCCTAACTGACGTCGTAAAAGGTAAAAATATAAAGTGTATTCCTTTGTCTGTTGCATTAACATATTTCTGATTTTCAGAGGCTGAAGCAGCTCGCGATGCTGGAATGCAAGTTGCTTTACTAAATCGTCCAGGCAACGCGCCTTTAACGGACGACGATAAAACTGCATTTACGTTTGTTGATAATTTTAATAATTTAAAGATAAAATTGAAAGAATAATAATTGAGGCTACATAAATAAAAAGTACCTTAGGCTAACACATTTTTTTATTTACGAAATAAAAAGCACGTACATATGTACATTATTACACCCTGAACAGTTTGTCACGAAGTTTGTAACATCCAGAAGGAAGCGTCGGGGACCCTATAAAGTATATMTATAAATGATCAGTATGTTGAGCTGAGTCGATTTAGCCATGCCCTTCTGTTTGTCTGTCCGTCCGTCTGTCTGTATATATACGAGTTAATCCCTCAGTTTTCAAGATATCGTTTTGAAATTTTGCAAACGTAATTTTCTCTTCAAGAAGCTGCTCATTTGTTGGAACTGCCGATATCGGACCACTATAACATATGTCTGCCATACAAAGTGAACGATCGGAATCAAGAGCTTGTATGGGAAACTTCCTCATTTGACGTGGTATCTTCACGAAATTTGACATGAATTACTGCTTAAGGTAATAAACTCCGAAAAAATTGTTCAGATCGGATTACTATAGCCTATAGCTTCCATATAAACTGAACGCCCAGTTACTAAAAGAGATTCACCTGTGAGGGGTATATTAGCTTCAGTGCAGCCGAAGTTAACGTTTTTTCTTGTTTTATTAAATATTTACACTTTATATTAAGTATATAGAAAGTATTTAATTATTAATTTCAATATTTACAAAAATGCTCTATCCAGACTAGATAGCTCATCACCACTGTCATTCATTATTGGCGGCTGCTCATCACGTTGCTTTTCATCAGACTGTGTAGTATTGTTTTTCACAGGCGTTTGAGAAGAGCTTTGCCTGCGTACTTTTGAACTGCCACCATATGTCTTATGCAGGAAATTTAATTTACTACTTCTTTGACTGGATTGACCACCCATACCATTGTGAGTGCATAATCTTCGACTGTCGGCACTTTTACTACGCGTTTTACGTTGTTTAGATTGACAGCAGTGTCTTTCACCATCGCGTTGACATGTATGGGTTAGTTTCCCAATATGAGGACCCCAAAATGTTGCGCCTTCCAAAAGTAATGGTGCGGACTTGACCCTTTGACGCATCAATTCCATGTTAAGTTCATATTCACGTTGTTGCATTGCCTGTTCGGCTTTGCGGGTGGCCAAACGCATAGAGAGGATCTCCTTATGACTTTCACTGCAACATAACATGTAAGTTTTTTAGACATCTATAGTTTGCACTACTTAAACGTGTTAAGTTACTAACTTGAGAGATAGTGACTTCCATGCCGGTGTTTTTCTCACTTCCCAATCGAATTGTGGCGTGTCGTCATAATAAGTACAATTGTTTTTCAGCTCTTTCAGTTTCTTTTTTGAAACCTCAACTCTTAATGTAGCTGCAAGATTCGGTCGCGCTACCGGATGTATTGGTGACGGTGTGACGTGCTATAAATAAAGTTAGGTTATGCTGCTACAGCAACAACCATATCAAAGTTTATATTTTAACAAGTACCTTTCTAATTTCTTTTTTTGTGTCCAAATTGAATATTGAAAATGGCACTTGAAAATCTTTTTGTTGCTTCTTATCCTTCAATTTCTTTTTTCGTCCACTACTTGAGCGACCTGAAGTTTTGTTAGAACTATTTTGCTCACTTGGTGACTCGACAACAATTTTCGGTGGAATATTTTTTGGTGATATTCTGTGGAGAAGCTATAAAAAAGTTGGCTTGTATATTTAATTATGTGCTTACATGCTTGTCTTTTGCGAAAAATAACTACTAAATTTTAAAGGGGTTCGATTTATAAGAATTTGCGTGTCTGATCGTTTATCTAAAAGGGTTTTGTCTTCTGTATTTTCAGTTTGCTTGGAGTCTGCGATTCTATTGATGTCATCGAAGGAGTAAGACTTTTTCAAAAAATTTCGTAAACTCGTACTACTCGCTTTGGAGCAAGAACGTGTGTTTTCACTGGCTTGCTTAAAAATATTACGAAAATTAGCAATTTCCGGTGTTACAGGGGCCCTGAAAGAATATCATGGTTTTACTACATAAACCATTTATATCAATTATTCCTAGTTTATTACTTCTCCGTGTATTCGGTAGAGTTCCCTATATTTGCAATAGGTTCAGTTTTAGTATTCTTCAACTTGCTGTCGGTCAAATTAGCACTTTTATGGCGACTTTTGAGTTCTGCTTCGAAATCTTCCAACGTTTTTTGGAATGCCTTTATTTCGTCATCAAACTCATCTTTATGGCTGAAAAAAAAAATAAATTAAAAAAAAATATAATTTTATAAATTAAATACTTACCTTTTTACAACGCTTTTCTTTGCAAAATCTATTTTGGTAGTAGTACGAAAAGGAGTTCCCAACCTGCATTGAGATCTTGTAAATTCTTCTTGTACTTTACACTTTCCTGCTTTTCTTTTGCCACATGCACTACCAGTTGTAGGACTATACTTCCCCAATTTGCTTGCTCTCAGCCGCTTTCTATTGGCGCAATGAGAAGATTGAGAAGATATGGATGTACTCTCCTCCACTATACACGATTGTGCAGATTTGGTTCGCAACTCACAGCAAGTGGATCGCAAGGTGTCCAACGTGGAGTAAAATTCTTCGTTCGGTAAGTGGTTGATGTCATTGTAATCTAATTGTGAAAAACAAAATAATATAGAAATAAATCAGTACATTTTTTTTTTGAGTTTATTAATTTTTTTTTGTTTCACCTGGAATACTATCATAAAGTTTCGCCAAGGAACGTATGCCATTGTTAACCAATACAGAGTCTATGGGTTCAAATTCGGGAGTCTTCGCCGTTTTCGAAGTGCCGCTTAATGGCGTTGTTGTCAGTCGGCCTAGGTACATCTTTGGACGATTATAAATTGGCGCTGGACAATTATTACACGGATCAATTGGAACTTTTAAGCAAGAATGTAAATAGGATCTACTGATCCGCGTAGTCATAGTGTTAATCACTTCTGTAGTACTATTTATCGAATAAAGTATGTATGTAAAGCTTGTTTTTTTTTTTTTAATTTGTATCAGGTACTACTCCACTGAGTTTTAATTTTTGTTGATTTATCAATATTTTCAGTTGACTGGTTTATAGGATTTTTGGTAACCAACGTAACCAAGGTTGATTTGTATTCAGCCATTGTCCAACTATTTATCGTTTATTGGTAACAATTAATCTGTTATTAGTGTAACCACAAAATTAGCGAAGGAATGTTGTTTATGCATAATATACCTATATGTATGTACATATTTATATAAAATTTATATGAAATATATACTCGCACTAGGGAGACTTCTCTTTCAATTTACAATGGTCCCACGTAAAAGCAATGCATGAAATATATGTATGTAAATACATATGCATTATTTACTCTATCTAATGTGTAATTCTCCAAATATTCCCGTAAAGGACTCATATCAGAAACAGTGAACTTACATTATCGTTCGAAACTCCTTTTAAGAATGGCTTAAACCCATTTCTAATATGGAATTGCATACCGGAAATAAAATCGAACGCTTCCGCTTATTTTGCAGGATGCTTAATTGCAATGTTTCAATTCAAGATTCCCAGCTAATGTTAGACTAGTTTTGTGGCATTTTCAGAAATCTTCCAATTGCCTTAAAATTTCCTGAATATAACTTTATTGCAATTTTAATTAGTGTATTCAGGTTCAGCCATGGTTCCAGTAGGTGCCCGCTGTGCTGATTTCTAAAGGGTTTTGTATTCGTATAAGTTTTCCAAATAGATCTTGTTGCTGTGGCTAAAAACTTAGACAGACGGCAGAAATAATTTAATTTTGAATTTAAGCATTAAAAATGAAACCATTTTTTTGTTTGTTTTTGTTTTCCAATATTACAATAATTTTATAAAACAATTATTTTATGTCGTCTTTAAACGACCCTGCTATAATTTTCGACACAAACGCTGCAACTCTGCATATAACTATGCTTTCACTGAACATCCGCAACTGTTTTCATTTCAGTCTTCTCGTGAATTTTCAGGTGTTAGGTTTATTATAGTAAAAATTGCTTCAAGTGATAGGTGTGAATTAATAGTTTGAGACGCATTAGTTGCTGAAAGTGGCTTTCTGTAAAGCAAAAATTATTAAATAATTAGAATCATTTGCTATTATAAACGTGAGAAAATAAAATTGTGATTATATCGGCTACAATTAGAGTAGATATAAACGCAACTAAGCAAAATGCGTCTCGCCGTCGGTGCAACAATCGTAAATGTTGCGCTGTCACTCCTCTCGGTGCTTGTTACTGGACAGGAGGCCGGTGCTGGTGATGAAGTACGTAAAATAAATATAAATATTGCTTTTGCTAGTGCTAATTTTCGCAACAGTCATCGCGACTCAAAGTTAACGCTTATATGGATTGCTTGTTGGAAATTTCTCTTTAACATTTACATTCTACATATACATACATATAATGCGTTTAAAAAGAGTTGAACTAATGCATAAATAAATAGTAACAATTATACAAGTACACCAGCAGGTGATATGCGTAATAATAAAGATTTTTTTTCACATTTTCTATTTCCAATCTTTCAATGATTCATAACCCGCTTATATACACATGACAGAAAAAGTTTGCGTTCGTCAACTGTATTTAAGCATTTACAAAAAAATATATATACTATATACATATATGCAACTTAAAAATTTCATTAATTTCCTTTCAATTGTTTTGAAGATGCTCGATGATTGAGCATCGTTCTGTGTTAACAGAATTTTTGTACCTCTACTGAATTGATCATAGTTGTGTTATTAGTTGTATGATACAAGTTTTTTAGATCTATTTAATTTTCTAAACCATATATGATATTATTATTTTTATTATTGACAAAAAGCGAAAAGAAATACATATTAGGTAAAAAGCATTGTCAGTTTTTGGCACAATAGCAAAATTTATCCATAAATGGCAAAAAGCGTTGAGGGACAGAGAAATGAAGAAGAATGGAGCTACGGATATAAGTCCTGGAAAGAGCCAAATTAGTGCGTAAAAATTGCCTATTAGAAGTCATTAAAAAACTAGTTATTTATTTAATTAATATGTACTTTTTAACCTTTACTTTTTCTTCACCTAATCTTGAAGTGAAAGTAGCTAGAAAATGTTTACAACAGTTCTTTCAGTGTTACAAATGTCGCACTATTCATTGTTTTATTTATTTTTTCTTCAATTGAATTGAAGAATTCTATTTCTAGATGCTCTGTAATTAAATTCATGGTATCAATCATATAAAAAGTCTCTTGAAAAGGTCACTAATTTTAACCAGTAATGTTTACCAATGAAAACAAATTACTATGTGTGTATAGCATATGCTTTAAGATTGGCTGGCGCATGAAAAAGCTTAGGATCTTCTACAGTTTTTACTCACATAGTCGTACATTTTCACTGAAATGCAATTTGAAAACAATTGACTATCAGGCTTTGTTATCGAAAAACGCAAATATAATTGAGTTCAAAAGAAATAGATATGCTTGTAACAAATAATTTGCAATTAGAATTAATGCCGGCAGTTTTAAGAAAAATCATACTCTCATCAGTTATTCTTGCGAAATTTTGCCATCAATAAATCATACATTCACAATTGGAATTTTTGGTTAAGTTTAACTGAGTTCCAGTGTATAATATGCATTTATTTGCGTTTAGCTTACGTACATTAAAACTTTGTGAATGTGACTATTTGTCTTTGTTATAAATTGAAAATAGCAAACTGGGATTAAGACATGAACACGTCGACATTTTTATTTATTTGTGTCATTTGTTATCACACTCCTATTGTCGTAAACATTGATTAATTTGCTGTATCAATTTGTATACATATTTAGTAGCAGTTTATTTGTTTCTTTAAATAGATCTACAGAACCACTAAAGCAAATACAATAAAAATGATTGCAAATTGTACACATGAACATTTCTTTAATGAAATCCAAAATATGCGTTTACACTTATAAATGATAAATTGAAAAACTGAACTGTGGCATAACCTAATTTCTCTTTCATTGCTCTATTTTAATTTACAATACAATTAAGTACTTTTCATATAGCTGATTTTTTGTTGTCAAATAAAAAAGCTGATAATGCTAAGTATGAAACAACATTTATGGAAAATAATAATTTAAATTTCTTCAAAATATATGTATATATACTACATTAGTAAATAATAACTGAGAAATATTAATAAAAGTAGCAGTCTTGCTTTCTATTATTAACTTTTAATTTATATTATGTTTTGAATACTGTTTCGAAAATTTACAATTTTATAATAATCATTTTCCTTGAATTTTTTTCCATTGAAACCACACACGTGTATTATTACCAAAATTTTACACCAAATCGTTAAGTAAACACAAATTTTATTGCTTTTGTGAACACAAAGTAAACATTGTAAATGTTGTGTGCTAATAACATTTTTCAGCAAGTAAATATTAAAATTTAGTGCAAAAAAAAAAATTTCAATTTTTATAACTTTCATAAAAGTAGGCAATGAAAAATAAATAAGTTGCCCACAAGGGGGGAAAATGTGAATTTTCGGACAAAAATGTTTTCCATTACTGTAATATTCATTTTGTTTACATTTAAGTCAAATCTGTATGTGTGTAATTGCCTACTCGGTAAATTGTGGACAAATTTTTGCAATCGTGCATATATGTATAAATAAATATTCACTTACAGACTGTGTGGTTGGCTGAACAGTCAGTGGTTTCAATTCTATTTTGGTTAAAAACTTTTTGACTTATTGATTTGCTTTCAAAACTTAACCGCAAATATTGGTTTCCACTTATTTAGTCTCATACATGTTCATAATAAGAGTGAGCCATAGTTGAAATGTCTGCCAACTTTTTTAATTTTTTTTTATCAAAGTAGAAAAAGTTGCATTAAGGAAAACTTAGAAATAAAATTTTGTGCAAATTTGATTTGTACATATGTATGTAAGTTTTTATAGTGAAAATCAATTTTTTTCATATACTTTGTGTATAATTTTTGAGATTGCTGCTGATGTGCACTAGTTATTGACTGTAAATTAATCGACTTCTTTACGAATGGTTAATTTAATTTTACCCAACTTAAATATTGATTTAAAAATCGAGGTCTAAATCGTTAAATATATTTATACATATGTATTCAATATTAATTTAATATTTATATGTAAAAATATTATATTTTATGACCACCATTATGCAACTCATTTAATATTCCTTCGTTAGTTTGTATTAATGTAAATGTATGTAAAAATTAATATTCGAAAGAAAACAGCTGTTAGTTCATTGAACAATTCAAGCTCTGACTAACCATTGCGGAAAAATACTTGCTAAAAGCGGTGCTAACCTTACTGTTATGTGCATCTGTTCGATCACAGTTGACTAATGAGTTAGAAGAGCCACCGCAAATTGAATCTCATTTGCCTTTATACTTTTTTCAAAATGCTTACAGTATCAACTAAAAAGGTGATTTAAAAGAAGAATACGGAAATAAATCGTTTGAAAACTAATTGCAACCGTTTAAAATTATTCATAATTATTATCAAATTTAAGCAGTGTTGTTGCTTTGACTGTAAACAGAGTTATCTTTTATGCCTGAGCAAGTTAGTCAAGTGTTTTTATATTGCCTCAGCGAGTTTATTACGTATAGCCCATAATGAATAGCATCATTCTATTTATGACTAACATCTGACTAGTTTAGAACCAGTCCCCGTTTTTAACACTACTACTACGGCTACTTCCATTTTTACTTTCACTCCGTCTACAATTTTTAATCTCTAAATTTAGTTTAAACTATACTGGTTTTTAAATTCTAGTTTTGATAAAAATATGTAGAAACATGTGGACATTTTTAGGTTATGCACATAAGATGCGAAACACAAGACAAGATAATAAAAATAAGTGACATTGATGTATGTACATATGTATGTATACGTAAATAAATTAACCATATATACA